ACAGCTCCCCGGAGACCCACCACCCTGGACGGGGTGAGAGTGTCCTGCAGTGGACAGCTCCCCGGGGACTCACCACCCTCGAGGGGGTGAGAGTGTGTTACAGCAGACAGCTCCCTGGGGACCCACCACCCTAGACGTGGTGAGAGTGTCCTGCAGTGGACAGCTCCCCGGAGACCCACCACCCTGGACGGGGTGAGTGTCCTGTAGCAGACAGCTCCCTGGGGCTCACCGCTCCCTGGACAGGATGAGTGTCCACTCCAGATTCTTAGGTGAGCTCAGTTCAGACCGTGTGTGCCATGCTTACTGTTAGCCCGTGTGTGAGCTGTCCCTCAACCAGCCTGTCCCTGCGGCCACCTCTCACTGCCAGCTGCAGGCCCAGTGGAGACTCCACGAGGAGGCTTGGGACCCTGCATGAGACACATAACCATTGAGGCCTCATAGGTGGGGGCTGTGGGGCAGAGGGGGCCCCCGCCCCCCAGGACCCATGCAGGCCCCGTGGGGAGGGAGTGGCCAAGGGCCGCAGGCTGGCTGGTGGGACCCTCTGCACAACCCCCGTTGGCCGCTGTGGGGGGGTCCAAGCTGTGGGATCCCCACCCAGAGTGGGGAGCAGAGACATTCCTTTATCCCTCCTCGGTCCCCAGCCCACCCCTCTGCCTGCCGTGTGGGGGGCAGAGCAGAGCCTCCTGTCCCACAGACCCCACATCCTCAGTGGCCGCAATGTTGCCTTCAGACAGCAGCTGTGTTCACACCCTGCATACTGGCTTTTTTCAGATCATTTATAACCAAAAAAAAGGAAGTAAACTTTGCTACTGTTACCCTCCTGCTGTGTGTGTGGTCTGCAGAGGGTGTGGGGGCGGGGTGGGGGAGCAGGGCTGGGACCAGCATCTGCCCTGGGGGGCTCTACTTTTCGCCTGTTAGGGAAAATTTGGAAAGTGTGTACATTTAAAAACAACCCCCGAAACCTTCCCTCCCGCTTTGCTGGCATCGCTGACCAGAACCAGCTGGACAGGGCGAGCAGCGAGCCTGTGCTCCTGCGTGGGCTGGCAGCCCCTTCCTGTGGCAGACTTCAGAACAGTGCGCAAAGGCCCCCTCTGCCCCCTCCTCCCGCTGTTAGCGGTGGGTGTCTGAGGCTGTGTTCTCTAGTGCAGTATGTGGGAGCTCGTGTGGCCAATGGTAAGGAGCTATGCAGCCAACCCAAAGGTGCTCAGTTCAAATCCACAGGAGAAAGGTGGGAAGTCCTGTCCAGTGTGATTTAGAGCCTCCGAAACCTGGAGAGTCAGCTACGAGTCAGCTCCAATTCAGCACTTTGACATACCTGTGTGAGCTGCCTTGAGAGGAGGAAACAGGACGTGGGGGCACAGGGCCAGGAGCGTCTCTGAAGTGGCCAGAGGGAATGAGAATGGCACAGCCCCCCCGCAGAAAGCAGTTAAAGAGCCTGTAACCCAGCCCCGTGGGGCCTCTAGACCCATCCCAGCGGCAAGACTGTCCTTGGCTCGTTGTTGACTCACAGGTTCATAGTTGTGGTCCTGAGAATGGGGCTTATTAGGGAAAGAGGTTGGAGAGTGGAAGAGGCAAAGAATGTCACCCAATACAGATCCAGGATTTAGCCCAGAAGTCCCAAGGCACAATTCCTCAAATAGCCCAGGCTCTGGTTTCAATTCGGCAACACAAATTCAAGAAGCCTCTCATTCCTTCAATCATCCAGCAAGGTTTGCCTCAGAGTAGTTGTAAGTCAGCTTCTCCTTAATTATCCAGCAAACACAGCAAAACCTTTAGCTCTGGCTTTTATCTCAGGGCTCCTCTGGTTACACCTTGCCAGTCTCTCCACAGCAATGCCACAGTCTCTGCCACCATCACAGGGTCTCGCCTTCACCAAGGTCTCTCACTAGGCTCTTGCTCCAGTTTCCCTCAGGTCTTGCCGCCCCAGTGTGGGAAGCACTCCCTCTCTTATCCTAGTCCCACAGCTGTTGATTGTGTCTGCAGTTAACGTAGCTGGAGACCAGAGGAAGCAAGGGTAATGGCTAGAAAAAGCCAGCATTAAGCTAACACTGTATGTGTATGCCCTGTATTTGTTGCCACAAAGAAGCACCACCTTTAGGCCAGCAGGACCGCTCCTTGCACACTACACCACCAGAGCTTCCTAAGGACGTGAATACCTAGAGATTTATTCACAGGAAATGACTCATGTGCTTGCTTTTTCGCACGTTGCTGAAAGTAGCCTGGAAAGGTAGAGAGTCGGCTAAGGAGAGAGAGAGACCCTCACCCAGGTTGATTGATGCGGTAACTGCCGCACTGGGCACTTGTTGCAGACCAAGAGTCAACTATTTTTATAATTATTAATAATGAGATAGCCAGGAATGAGCTAAAACAGGTAAAGACGGGGCCAGCAGTTTCATCAGCTGAAGGGCCCCATTCCAACTTCCCTGTATCTTTATTGAAAATTATCAGGAAATAAAACACAAAGAGAATTCAATGTAAAGGAAGCCAAGCTTTTTCTACTGAAAACCTTCCCTTGACTCAGGAGGGAGAGGTCAGCAAATAAATGCAAGAATATGGTCAACCCTTAAGGGTTGCCTTGGTGTCTCAGAGTGAATTCCATCCTGAAATAGTATTTGGTTTATTACAAATACTTAGTATTGACTTCCTTTAGGTACTAGTGTGCCAGGAAGTGTGAGGCTGGCACAGGATAGGACAGGGTTCAGGTCTGTGGTTCATAGGGTCGCCGTGAGTCATACTCGATGGCACCTACCTTAACTAACTCACTCATAGGGTGACATTGGAGGCTGATGAATCCAAGGGCAGCAGGGTTGGTCCAGGAGCTGAAGAGGACGTGAACGGGTTCAGGATCATGAGTAAGCCATCCCCTCTAGGCTTCCTCTGGGCTCAGTGCTGGCCACGCCCCTGTGAAGCCCCTCCACGACTGACCAAGCACAGCAAATTACATCAGGGAGACAGGCCACATCGCACCTCATCAAGGGAATGGCATCACCCCCACCAAGCCAGAGAATCAGGCAGTCACGTTGCTACACAGCCTTGGCCATGACAATGGGTACGTCCTTGGGCTTGGACTTGAGCCTGGAAAAAGGGCTGTGACCCGACCCTCTTGTTCTGTGTTATTCACACCACCTCAGCTGCTTTTGAAATGGAACACCCTCCCCACCCCCGAAAGACCCCAGCTCCATTGTTCAAAAGCTGTATAAAAGGAAGGACCCATTTTTCAGCTTGGAAAAACTGAGGCTCAGGGGAGTGAAGGGCTTTCCAGTGTGGGATGGGCCTCAGGTCGGCAGTAGACAGTCCCAGTGGCACTGTAGTTAAGACATTCAGCTGCTAACAAGAAGGTTGGAGGTTTGAATCCCCACTCACTATGATTGAGATCTGTGAACACTGCCACCACCCTGGAAGCCTCAAGTCAGAATTGACCACGTGAGGGAGGAGCTGGGCAGGTGGGAGGTGGGCAGATGGGAGGGGACTTGTTCTCTCTCTGTGTCCAAATGCAGTTTAAGGAGCTGAGACTTGGCCTCCCTGCTCTGTGCACTGAGGTTCTAGTGGGAAGGACAGCAGAAGCATTCCGCCATCCATCAGGCGGTAGGTGCTAAGATGAGAATTACAGACGGACCCTCAGATGGCACAGGAGTGAGGGCTGTCCTCACACTGGGCAGCACGGAGCCCTCTGCAGAGGTGTCTGCGCTGGGACAGGAGCGGGAGGCACTGGTCCTGCTGGGGTGCAGCCAGAACAGAGGTTAGAACTACCACGGAGAAGTTTCCAGAAACAGCAGAGCCTGGTGGTGGGCACTGCTGGAGGAAAGGAGGCTGCACTTGCAGGTACAGAGACCCTGGGACGGGGACCTGCTGGCTCAAGGAACATGGTGGAGGCAGGTGTGGCCAGAGAGGATGGAGGGGCTTCACAGGAAGGAGGGCCGGGGCTAAACCTTGGGGCTCGGGGAGCTCCCTCTTTCCTCTTCACCTCGGTGTGTAATGTGTACAGCCAACGATGCATTTCCCCCAGTTCTCGGCCTTTCCAAATGCCGGGGCTGGGGACGGTGGCAGCCAAGCCTTGTGCTGTGGTCAAGGACCAAGGTTCCCGAGATAGTGAATTTCCTAACAAAGCTGGCAGGGATTCCCTCAAGCCTAAATCACGGCTCGAAGGAGCTCACAGAACCGGAGTGCTCTTTGGAGGCAAGGATGATGAGGCCTCACCTCACAGGCTTTGGCCACGTTGCTAAGCAGGGCTGTGCTTGGAAGGATGGTGGGTCGGCGAAGGAGAGGAAGACCCTTGACCAGGTGGATTGACATGGTGATGTCTCGGGGCCTCTAGTGTATCAGGAAGGGTGAGGATGGCACGGGATGGGACGGGCTTCAGATCTGTGTTCATAGGTTCGCTGTGAATCGTACTCCACTCAACCGGCATCCAACAAAACAACAATGTGTAGCTGAAGTCCTGCAGATTTAATGCTTGTTCACACAGGTCCGAAAGTCCTACCTGTTAATTTAAGCAATGGAGTCACAACAACCCTCTCCAGGAATGTCCCACGTTGCTGGGAGGGCTGTCCAGGCCCCACCTGGGCATGCCTCCAACCCTCATCTATGGTCAAGTGCTTCCACCTACAATTAACCACACTCTTCCCAGTCCCTGCCTGTGATTCTTGTTCCCATTCATCCAGCTGTCCTCCCCCTTCCCGCATTCTGAGTTTACCTCTGGAATTAATCCCATGTAGTTGATTATTTTAAGGGCACTTTCTCCTGATGTCATTGTG